GAATCTATTAGGTAGAAAAAAACATTGATAGAGAATACTGAGTATTGATTGAATACATCACTACATAAGTACCTACTATTTATAAGCTTGATTTTTTGAAAAAGAGAAATAGCCAGACATTAAAAAATAGGTAAAAGTTATTAACTTTAGTAAGTTATGATAAAATTAGTTTTCAAATGTGAATATAACACATGAATGTAGGCAACATACTAAGTTTAAGAATTATTTTTTGAAATCAATGAATTTGTACTTCAGATTATCTAATTATTGAAATATGTTTATATAAAAGGTTAAACCATTTATTAATTTTATACATAACTATTGATTATGCTATAGGTATTGATATCTTACATTAAATTACTTATAACTTAGTAGGTATCTAGATTAAGATAACCTTGCTATGATCTAAATTTAGAAAATTAATTAATTTCAAAGATTGGTAAGTATTACCTGGCTAGAACATCTGTATGACTTAAGCACTGTAACACAGCATTTATGAAACATGTATTTCCTTGGTTACGTAGACCAACCACACCCGGAACTTTGTCACCGCTTAAAATTTTCGGAGTTTGATAGGTGTTATCGTTATAGATGTCTGTAGACGAGCGTGAAACATAAGCATCATACTTGGAACATAAATTGCTCTTGTCCTGTTGTAAACCGAGGTATGACATTTTCTGCAACATTTTCCCCAATACCTTGTTCCATGATGACGGTTTCCTTAGCATTGACAGCTTTAGTCTAGCATCGTCTACATCACCAGGCTTCACATGTTTGTTGCGTATCAAGTCACGCTTAAGTGAAAAAGATCGTTTTAGTTTGGACGTCGGTGGGTTGGGGTCTTCATTGCGAAGCATGTTGTGCAGAGCTTCAGCCGAAGTACGTTTCTTCAGCAACGATATTTCGTCCATTTCGAAACGTCAACGACAGATTTTGGTAACATTAGAACAGTATGTATTACTGTATAAATTATTTGAAAATAAAAAACAACAAAAAAAAAACAAAGCAAATGGGAAGAGTTTAAGTTGAACACACAAAATAGGAATTTCGCTAGTAGTTTTAATATTATGTACACGATTTGGCAAGCTACGAAGCTGCAAACAGTCTTGAAACGTCTGATGGACGGCGACACATCCGAACCGATTAAACGGCGCGTCGATTAATCAAAAATTCACAATGCTTTAAACGTTTTAAAGTCTACAATATCAAAATACAAAATAATAATAATATGTAGGTGCCTACAAACTATGTTAAAATATTATGTATTATTATTGTATATTGTTTCACGGAAAAATTTATCAACTCGTTATCGAAAACCTTCAGACAATACAGTGTTGCCGCCTAACCGACGGAGAATGATGAATGATGATTATA